GGTTTGATGGCAGCACGGCTGGTCAACACCCTCTCATTCGTAGATTTATGAAGGGTGCCCATCGTTCCGTTCCAGTCACTAGAAGAGTTGTTCCTGAGTGGGACCTCTCCATGGTGCTGGATGCTTTGACTCACCATCCTTTTGAGAACCAGGGGGTATTTCTCTGAAGCATCTGTCCTTCAAGACAGCTCTGCTGCTGGCCTTGGCTTCAGCTAAACGTGTCAGTGATCTACATGCACTCTCTGTTCACCCCTCGTGCATTAAATTCTCCCTCAGTGGAGAGAAGGTTTCTCTCAGGCCGAACCTGGCCTCTATGCCAAAATGCTTCCCTAATTTTTCTTGTGAGGGGGTAGAGCTTTCCGCTTTTCACCCTCCTCCATTCTCCTCCACTGAGGATCAGAGGCTAAATGCTTTATGTCCATTTCGAGCTCTACGGACCTATATCAACAGGACTAGCTCTTTTAGAAGAAGTGACCAACTCTTAATTTCTTGGGCCCCTCCAAACAGGGGGAATCCCATTTCTAAAAAACGCCTCTCTCATTGGCTTGTGGAAGCTATCTCTCAGGCATATGAATCTAAGGGAGTGCAGCTTCCAGGGGGCCTCAGAGCACATTCCACTAGAGGCATGGCTGCTTCTTGGGCTCTATTTAGAGGTGTATCCTTGCAGGACATTTATGCCGCTGCAAGCTGGGCCTCTCCACATACATTTGTCAGATACAACCGACTTGATGTTATTCAGACTCTGGTAGCTCATTCTGTCTTAGGTGTGGGCTCTTCGTAGCCCTGTGCCTTATGCCTTTTTACACCTAACTTGGCTTATTCATGTCCCTAAGTGTGACCCTTACCTGACACTAAATATAAAAAATGTATATGCACAAATACATACATACATACATATATATATATATATATATATATATATATATATATATATATATATATATATATATATATATATATATATATATATATATATATATATATATGTGTGTATGTATATATAT